TAAGATATTTCATCATCGATAAAAAAAGTATAGTTGGGTATTGTATGATTAGTTTAATTGACATACGACTATGTCAAACCTTTCCTGAGCAGCAAAATCAAGTCTTTAGAGGCTGATCAATCATTATTATTGGTAATTTCAGTCAACTCTCACCAGTTCTTGACAAATCCATATACTCGCAAATTACCTGATGTAATCAATTATCAAATGATGGTATTACAATCTATAGGCAATTCTAAGAAGTGTATAAACTCAACATTATTTAGCGCCAGTCAGAGGACTTTAATGATCAATGTAATTTCAGAGCCATATTAATGAGAATGCGAGATGATGAATCTACGTTAGATGACTAGAAAGTCCTTGCTAGATGATTTTCTGATGCATTAACCCCAGAATTTTTGGATATCACATGCATCATGCCTCGAAAGTCTGATGTCACTGAGTTTAATATTTCTAAGCTCAAATCACTAAACTGCCCTGTCACCAGAATCAATGCTATTCATACAGGTGGTAGTGAAGCATGCAAGGCTAATTCGAACGTAGCAAAAGGTCTTTCTGCTCAATTATTATTGGCAAAAGATGCAAGAGTTATGCTTAGGACTAACTTATGGACAGAAGTTAGTTTAGTTAATGGTTCAGTTAAGAGTGTTCAAGAAATTGTATTTGAAGAAAACCAGTCTTCTCCTTTACTTCCTGTTGTTATCCTGATAGAATTTGACAATTATTCTAGCCTGGCTATTATTATTGCAGAAGGTAAAAGGCTTATTCCAGTTTCACTAATTAGACACAGCTGGGATGGAAAAAAAGGAATTTGCTCACGCTTGCAAGTACCTATTTGCTTTGCGTGATCTATCACGATACATAAAAGTCAGGGTTAACCTTATAAAAGGCTATAATAGACCTTGGAAAAAAGAAGTATGCGGTCAGACTTTCATTCGTAGCGATTTCACAGGTTGGTGCTCTCCAAAATATTCTTTTTAGATCATTTTCATTTGAAAGACTCCAGCGTATCAAAACTTGCAAGAGATTACAAGAGAGATTGGCTGAAGAAAGAAGATTAATCTCTATAATTCCTCAAAATGACAACATATAATTACCTATTGTTTGATTATTAATTGTAAAATAAAGTTTCATCGTGATCATTGTGATATAAAAAAGAACACTATATGTGAAAAATTTTTATTGATTATGATTTGTAACGTAGCATAATTATGATCACAATACAATTTTTTAGCAATGCATTTTTTTTTGTATCACTTAGCTTTGGACACTCTAACAGTTCCCATTACCTAGTGATTATCATAATATCCATAGTTTATAGATACTAATGATTATATCTATTAATACTATTGTTTATATGAATAATATTCTCACTATTCCCATACTTATAGCAAATGTAATTCCAAAAATATTTTATATAATTTGAACCTAAATCAATACAATATATATAATCTACTACTTGTTAATACCAATTCTTTGATTTCATGAATAGAACTTACTTATATGGCTTTTTTTTCTTAATTATTTAATGATATTTTGTAAAACAATTTAAGATTTTTAATATTGAATTAGTTAATAATCTAACCATTTATTGTTATGATATAGATATCCATAATAAAAGAGAAGACTAGCAACTTCACAATATTTTACTAATAAATTTTATTAAGCTTGACCTGCATCTAATAAAGGCATATATTAAAGCTATAAAAATATTTGCATTCTTTTCAGAAATTTAAGAGTATCCTTAACATAATGTTATTCTATTAGTTGCTAATTGACCAAATTAAATACACCCTTGAAAAGCAATTACTATATAATAATAATAATCAAAGAATTAACAAATAGAAATTTCAGAATATGTTAATTTTTTTACTCTAATTATAGAACATTTGCATATATCTCTTAACAATCATGAGACTGTTATTTTATTATTTTATGACTTTTTTAATTCTGCATACAAATATATTTTTAGAACTAACAAAAAGTTTGCAAATAAATCTTACCTTTAGAGAATTAATCTTCTATTACAGTTAATTTCAGATGCTTAAAGAAATATTGTATTATATATTAAAGAAAAAATTGAATCATCTTGTTTTAAAGATGTTAAGTACCTTTTACTAAAAATTTTTTTAGATGATACTATTCCTTTGGTTTTGAATATTTATGCAATAATTTTTAGATCAGATAACAAGAGGCATATATTAAGACTTATGTGAGAGTATAGTATTTATTTGTATAATTTAAATGAAGAAATTATTCCTTAAACTGTAAGGCTTTCCAGGCAAATTTGCCTGCAAAAATTCTGAAATTCAAGTTTCATCTATTTTTTGAATTTATTAATTAACTTAAAAATTTTTTTTTATTAATTGATAATTCATCTTTTAAATAATTATTTCATAATAGATTTATACTTTCTTTTATAACAAAAGTGCCATTACTTATTTTCTTAAATTAAACAATTTTTTAATCTAAATAAAATATCCGAAAATTATTTTATTCACCTTGACGATCTTTTCAAATATTTGCCGCAGCTATACATATAATATATGTAAATTGTAAATTTCAACATGAATTTTATTAATCGCAATATAAAAATTGATTAAAATACATCCAATTTTAACTTCATATAGTAATAAAAATTAGTAATAAAGTCTATTATTTAATAATCTCATGAAAATCTTTAAAACACAAACGTTGTTTGTTACAACATAATGCTACATTACAATTACTACACTAAATTTGTGATTAGGGAGGATTTTTTGAAGATGCTTCATTATTTTTTCTACTGGTATAGCGGCACCATAAATAAGCATCTCTTCTGTCTTTATGTTCTGAAAAATGATCTCTACCAATAAATCTATTTGCAGGTAGTTTGAAACTATCTGTTACCCTATATTTTTTATATCTTTTTCTTTAATCTGGTCTTGATCTTCACTGCATATTATTCTTTTTAAAGGATTATTTGTTACATCCTTAATTAAATCACAAACTAACTGCAATCTAAAAGTTTTATGATTTTCACATAACTTCAATTTTTTACAAATAATAAAAGAATTAATGATTGCAGTATTAAGGAACCAAAAAAATAAAGGCATTCATGTCTTTCGAACTATTAGTTGTATTGAATAATAGCTCTATAACTAGTCTACAATATCTATTTCGCTTATATAATAGTTGTAATCATTAATTATTTTTGGAATGGATAAAATTTTGCAAACTGATTCTTCAAAAATACTAATTTAACTTTATTACTATTTGTGCTAGTTTTTCGTAGTTTTCTCCATTCTCTTTTAATTTTGCTGTTTTCTCCATTAATGACATATATAGTTGTAAGTATAGTTACTGGACTATTATTAATCTAAAGTAATGCTAAAACATTATCTACTATTACACCTTTTAAATGATCCCACTCTAGATCTTTTCTTTTCTTTTTTTAAAATAATAGAAAATTTTGCAGTATTCATACGAACTGTATTGCATGCTCTATAACCATTATTTCGAAGAAAATTAAATAAATTTATTCTAGAAAAATAGTTATCCATAAAAATGTTAAAGGTCATATGAGATAGAAGTTGATTTACTAGATGATAAACTTCAGCTCCAATTTTATTGATATTAAGAATTAGATTAACATCAGAAGGTTTAATTCATGATATAAATATAAAGGTGTATGTATAACCTGAATCACACAATGATAGAATTTTATAGCCTTTTGAAGTAGGTTTGTTTTTAGTGCGATATGTATAACCATTCTGCCGAGAAAATCTAGCGATCATTTCATCAATAGATATATTAGAGGTAGGAATATAGAGTTATTTTGATATAATGCGAATATATGATGCAAGAGGTTTAAGTTTCATAAACATATCTGATGATTTTGTAATACAATCTGAAATATGTAAATATTGCTTAATGTAAATTTTAAAAAAATTTAATTTAGTTTAAATTATCTAAATTAAATCAATACTATTAAAAAAATAACTTATCTGTTGAAATCTAAATAAAGTCATTAACTTGGTTATTTCGTGTAATAGATAATATATATCCTTTTTCTAATAATCTTCAATAGCCGGAAATTTAAATATATTCATATATATTACTAATGCTAACCATATTTTAAGCTCTTAAATGTTTAATTCAGTCTAATTACGACCTTCACCTGCTAAATTACTTCTTCTTTCTTTTACACCATGTACATAAGCATATATATTTGTATTATCTATAATAGTTTCTATCTGTTGATTAGAAAAAAATTTATGAAAGATAAAATAAGGTTGAATTTCTAATTATAAATCTTTATTAGATAAATTTGCATATGCTTCATGTAAAGAATATATATGTTCAAATGGAATAAAATTTTTTGATAAATCATATGTAGATTCTTTTTTTGTATCACTAGCTTTTTTTTTACCTTTTCCCTTAACTTTTTCTTTTAAATCGGGCTCTAATTGATCAACTTCATCTGATTCATAATTATTTCGATTAAAATAACAAATATAAACTTCATTATCATTTTGTGAAGAATCAATTGTTTCAGATATAATTAAAGAATTGTGTGAGAAAATTGTGAGAAAATTGTGAGAAATTTGTACGAAAGACAAAATTTTAACAGGTTTATTAACTTAAAAAAGTTAAAGATCTTTGCAGGCAAATTTGCTTGCCCTACAGTTGAAAAGCACTAGTAATTTAAAAAAATTACAAAAAAGGAAATGCGCAGTAAGTTTGAAATGATTGACATCAATGATAAAATGAATTAAATTATTTAATCAATCTAAAATAGTAAAATAATAATAATTTAAAATAAAAAATTAAAATTAAAAATTCGCAGGCAAATTTGTGCCACAAATTTTGTAATTTGTAAAATTACTTTTTTACTTAATTAAGTAGACTAAAAATTTTATATAATATTTATTTTGCCAATTTTAATAAATTTTTTGTATAAAAATTGAAATTTAAAAAATTCGCAGGCAAATTTGCCTGCTCTACAGTTTAAGGGATACCTATATTGCAGATTGTTTAACGCCTGCACTACTACAGGATTTAAACCAGAATAGTTAGTTTTAACCATTTTTATAGTTTATAACTGATCTTAGTGATTTATAGCGTTTTAGCGAATTATAGTGAATCTTTATCAACATATACTATAATATTATAGGATTTAAATTATACAGATTTTGAATAAAAATTCATATATGTAAAACCTACTAATTCTCAATGCGATTAAAATTATCCTTGAATGTTGCTTGCACAATTGCTAAAGAACGTGGTGGATTTTGTCTTTCTGATAATTATATTAATAACATAACTCCTTTAAAGTGGCGTTGCTCTAAAGGCCATGAGTGGAATGCCTGTCTCTCTAGTGTAAAAAATCACAATACTTGGTGTCCATACTGTGTAGGTCGTAGTGTAGCTAAACATACTCTTGAAAATGCTAGAAAAATTGCATATAGTAGAAATGGAAAATGTCTTTCCGAAAAATATATTAATTGCATGACAGCTTTGCTGTGGCGTTCGTTGTTCTAAAGGTCATGAATGGAATGCACCACTTAGTAATATTAAAAATGCAATTCATGGTGTCCTCATTGTTCTGAACGATATGCTCGTGATATTGATCAAGCCAAGCAAATTGCATTTAGCCGAAATGGTGAATGTCTCTCTATCTCATATTTTAATAACTATTCAGATTTATTATGAAAATGTGATAAAGGGCATATATGGCATGCAACACTTCATGCGATTAAAAATCATAATACCTGGTGTCCAACTTACCGGAATAAATATGAAAATTTATGTCGTGAAATTGTTTCTAAATATTTGGGTCCACCTTCAAGTATTCACCGACCAGATTTCTTGAAAATTCCTAAACACCCTAAGGGATTAGAACTTGATATATATTATCCAAAACATGATTTTGCGATTGAAGTACAAGGTCCCCAACATGAAAAATATATCGAATTCTTCCACAGAGATCCCAATAATTTTATCAAACAGCAAGCACGGGATCAACTCAAGAAAGAATTATGCGAAGAGAATCAGATTGCCCTAAGGTATTTTTGGTATTACGAAGACCCATATGTAGTTATTCCTGAGCACCTTCGAGAATTGGGTCTTATTGAGTAAACTCAAAACTTTAAATACTTTTGAGATTTCACTTATTTTTTTCCGATATGTAGATGATGTGAAAAATGCACTGACCAGTGATAAAATCACAATTTGGTTAAGGTTTGATACTCCAAATTGCAGGAGATAGAATTATGACAAAAGCACAGGATAAAAAATGCAACCCGAAAAAAACTGATAAAAAATTAACATGTTCCTTGTTAATCTTATAGCAAACGAATAAATTTTATTTTTCCAATGCACACCACGAAAAATAATTCTTGATACTGAAACGCTATTTTTTTTTATTTGTACAAAGCTAAGCAATATGTGAAAACATATCTGATATACAGTAGTAAGCAAGCGACATTAAATATCGAAAAATATAGAAGAAAAATAACAATCCTCATACGTGATCATAATAATCTACAATTGTCTGAATTTGCGTAGTAGTAAGCTTCGAAATGAAACTGGCACTATACGACCTAATCCACTTAATTCTGTTCATTCCTATCTTTTTGAATAGGTTATAAATTCTTAAAGCCCCTTGTGTCTTATTGCGTACGGTATTTCTATTAAAGCCAGGAAGATGTTGCATAATGTCATCGTACATTACTTTCCTAGCCGTTTTTTCACTACATCCCTGAAAATTCATAGTAGCATCTACCCTCTCCATGTATCCTTTACCATAATGATACCAGCACGAAATTTCCTCATGATTAACATTAATCATCTGCGTTTCTGCACGACATGCTTTTCGAAACAACATAGTTAATGGTATTGAACCCTCAAATTCTTCTCCAGCATCATTATTACCGTTGGTTTCCTCATTGATAGGCGTGAACAATTCTCGTATCAACCCCTGCAACATATTCTGCTCACGTGAAGACGGTGGACTTGACGAATATCTTCTTGATCGAGTTTGGGAATTAGAAGTATTAGAATTCGATTGATCTAGCGTAATAATCTGGTTCGTCTCCGCTTGTTCAGCTGGACCTATCAATTCTTCATCTCGTTGTTCATGGTTGTGATCATTATCATAATCTTCTTGTTCATGATCATGATAATTTTCATAATCTTCTTGTTCATGGTCGTGATCATTATCATAGTGATCACCTGCTGAAATTGTTGACTCATTACGATGGTGAATTTTTTTAATTACCTTAGCTACGCGTGGATGATAACTACTATCGCGAACACGCCGACGACGAAGACGAGGACCAAGGCCTGAACCAAAACCTTCATGATTATGGTCATGGTTATGTTCATCACCTTCGTGATGATTATTTGTATTTTCATGGTGATTGTTGTCAACGGGAACGGCAGGATGAGCTCTTTGTCCATCATCATTGAGACGACCTTCTTGAATTTCAGGAGCAGAAATGTCATCACTATCATTATGGTGATTATTGTTATCCGTGATCAAAGCCAAGGCTATTTCCGTGATCACTATCATTATTACGGTTATAATAATCATTGTCGTGATCGTCATATTCGTAGCGCTCATCAGAATTATCAATGGTACGTTTTTTTGTAGATCCTTGTTCTTCTGAACAAAATGGGCAACATGGTTCAGGAGAGATGCGTTCAAGGCACTGCCAGTGGAAAAGGTGCCCACAAGTTAATATGGTGATATGCTCTATTAGTTGTGGAAGTAATTCTTTGCGACAGATGCCACAAAGATCCGACTTTTGATGCTCTTCTGGGATTCGTCCGGGTGTTTCATAGTAAATAATTTTATACGCGAATCTTTTCAGCTGGGTCTACACAGAATTTTATAAACAGATTTGCTTAATGGATTGTATATACAACTACTGTATTATTTACTGCTCACTTACCCTTTTATAATCATTGATTACTCCTTTCCAGAAATGTTGTAAAATGCCTCCGCGACGTTCTGATTCTACCTGTTGTGAGAGAGATAATGTTAGCAGTGCGCCAACTTTTTTATTAGTGATAAAGAAAGGTACATAGTCGATTCCTCCTTCAGAACAACCAACAACAAAGTTTGGACGCCCGAATTAAGAACGCCTGGAGTGGGTACCAGTGCCCAAAAAACAGTAATTCTCCTGAGTCAGGCCACGTCCAACTAGGAGTTGCCCTCCCTTTGCAAATAAAAAAAAAGCACCTTTTCCTTCAACTTCACAAAGCTTTCTTCCCGGTTTTCCTGAGTTAAGATCTCTTTTGCTTCACATAGAAAGTGACAGGACCAAATGTTATCGAGTTCCTCAGTGTCAAGATTTGAAGATAAAGAGGCAATTATGACGTTGCGGTTTAGCTCCAGAAATCCGCTATACGACTTTTTCACCTGATATCTTAAGTACGTGACAAGATCTAGGAAGTTGAAAGATTAGTTAGAAACTGAATAATGTTTACCAAAGAAATTATAAAGCTTACCATCATAACCGGGGTAATTAGAACTAGAACTCATACTCATTGTTCGTAATCTTTATAATAATTTTCGAGGATAGAAGTTAGACGCGTACAGGAATTTCAGAAATTAAATACAAGACGCGTAAATTTCAAAGTCGCACAGAATCGATTAATGAATCGGCTAAATTAGATCGTGGAACTGAGTGGTTTCCCAAATCACGAGATATGGAGTGATCGGCCAATCAGATTAACTATATTCTGTTCAATGAGCATATGCATGAATTTAGAAGATGCGAATCCTATTGGACGAAACTTTATTAATTAATTGCTGACAAAAGGCGAATCATGCTTTACAATACTACATATAAAAAAAGTGTTAAAAGTGTTAAACTTTGAGAAGCGGACATCGTTTCCTGATCTCGGAATTTAAGTATCATGTGACCGAAAAAAATCTTGCCCATACTTCGAACTTAATTTTGCCTAGTAATATTCTTAACTTGAGATGCAACATATGGGTTGATTGCTAGGAAAATCAGGTTCCGGGAATTTTTTAGCAAAATTGAGATTATTATTGCATTTTAGTTTT